TTCCCTGTCGATCAGCCTGATGCATGTCAAGATCAGGGTATTGCATGCCCTATGACTGCCCTATGACTGCTGGGAAAACATACACATTCAAAACTGTCCTTCCCATCAAGAGTTTTTACCCTAATGTAAGTTCCCCCCATTTAACAATTCTTTTTGCTACGGTAACAACCAATCAAATTGCTGGCCTGATTGAATGGCTGTCTCACTTCACAATCTCAAGAAACAAGTCAAATTGACACATTTTTCAGGTGCAAATTCCCCACCTCTTCTGGTCAACCGTTCAATTCCCCACCAGTGGAAAGGGATTCGTTATAAATTCCCCTTCACAGCACAATTCACTCAGTAAAAAGCCAGATACCATAATGAGCATCTTTAACAGCAAGACATCCATATTAACCAGGCATCTGTAAAGCATGATCAAATTGCATTTCTAAATGATAAATACTGTAGGATATAAATTTTTGTACTTTTTTCCTTTCAGGTCCAGGTTATTGTGAAATGGGAAATGTATGACCAGGATAACAAAATGATCTATTGCTGGGAGGTCGCCACTCAAATTGTTAGTGGTTAAGTTCTTCCCCAAATAGTATAAATCTTTTGTGAAAACACTTACATTTAAAGGAAATGTGCACGATTTTTTGGGTTTGTAGAAAATAATAATTTAATTAGGAACGAAAAACATTTGATGTTGACTTTGCTTCACAAAAAAAGGGACTTGTCATTTAGTTAATAAATTTATTTGGACTTGTTTGCTTGTTTTGTGTTACTTTAACATATAGTTGCATCTTCCTCGTGAACTATCATGCACCCACCTTACAGCAATTATGACATAGAATTCACTGAGTATCAGAGCTTGAAAAAAATTGAATTCAAGCTTGCTGTTCAAACAGGCAGCTCACAAAATTTACTTGCCTGAGGCAAATCTTAGTTTACCTTTTTTTATTTAGTTGGAAGAAATCTTGTCTGGGTCCTTGACCATTGGACATGTAAGGATGAAAAGTTACCTGCCCAGCAGGAAAATCTACTTGTCCCAGACAAATGAACAGAACGGAATTTTTTCGAGCCCTGGGTATGATGATTTCACTAAGACTTTGGAGCTGTATGGGGATAATAACAACGTGTTTGACCCACTAAAATATATTGCTATGCACACACGGGTGTGCATCGCAATATATTCATTGCATCATTTCAGTGCCACTCTGCCTTGATCATCATGTGGGACGGAGGGACAGGAGCTGGTGTGACGGCAGTTTCACATAATGCACATGTCCAATGACCTAGAAAATAAGCAGGGACATGTTAAATGACAAGAAGTATCGGGAAACATTCAGTGCACACTCACACATGTATTCCCTTGCAAGGGTCAGTATCAACCTCTTCCTGCCCCTCTCCTACCCCTCTCCTGTTCCTGCCCCTCCCTTGCTCCAGGGCATGAGAGGAAGAGAGACCCTGGGAATGAGGTTGGGGTCAATACCAGGAAGTAAAAATTTCCCACCAACTCGTGATGCTTTCTGAAGGCCAAGATTCTAGCAACAGAATTAAATACAACTGTTTTGTGGTCTTCTAGGCCCAGAATTAGATGACACCATTAGGAAATGTTAAGGTAAAGTCTTGATTCAAGCACACCTGTACTGGCCTATCATGCTGTGCTTATCTCTGGTTTCAGTAATATGAAGTGACTTGAAGTGTTTCTGCCCCCCTCCCTGCCTCCTCCCTCCCCCCTTCTCCCTCCATGGATAGGATATGCTGGTTTAAGGGACCAGCAAGCATAGATTTACCAAAACCCAGCACTGGAGAGTATTATCCCTACCCTCCCTACCCCTTTCTCCCATTTTACGCCTGACTTTGCAGTACTGTGAGAGTGGAAATGGGGGTTTAAAGTGAATCTATAGGAGAATCATTGCAGATGTCATTGTTTACATTTTCCTCATTAACATACGACTGCACAGAGAGGGCAACACGCCAGAAACGAATTTACTACAAACATTGAAAGAGCTTGTGAACATATGTAAATCGCACTGAGCTTTTTGGCTCTTTGGTTGTAATATTCAAGGAGAAATTGGCTTTCAAATTTCTAGGTGGCAAAAGCACTAATGAGCTCATACATTCTTTGTAAAATCTCAAACTCCTTGGGAAAGTTAATCGTGCTATGCCCGTTTAATATTCAGAACTTGTACTGAGGCAAATATTGTAAACAAAATTCTCCTATAGGTTGTCATCAATGAACAGTTTACCTTCAGGCGGTTTTTGCATGGGTGGCTTTAGACAGTACATGTGGTATCCTCTATCACAGCCATCACAAAAAAGTAACTGATCCTACAACACAAGAAACTGTCACAATCAGAGGATCACTTCTCAGAGTGGTTTTACCTTAAATTGGTTAGTATCAAATCAAGGCAAACCACAAGTGTTTGGAAAATAGCCCAGTTTTACAAGCTATGTACAGAATTTGGTAGCACTTTCGTTCTCACTTTCCCAATAGGCAAGGGATCAGGCAAGTGTCTGCCAACTAAACCATCAAAAGAGCACACTAGGATTTGCCCAGGGCAAGCACAATTTGAGAGCAACTTGTCCCAAGGGTAAGCTGGAATTCACATATTTTTTGAGCCCTGCATCATGGTAATTATTTTCAAGCAAAAATTCAAATGCACATTAGGAAGTCTCACATCATTATCTGAAGTTCCACAAAGGGTGCAAGATTTGCATTCAATGCACTGCCATTTGTATTTCTTGACACTTTCTGTCAACTTGCCAGTAAACTGAAGACAGGAGGGATGCCCTAAATAAAACATATAACAAAAACATTAGTCCAGAAAAACCAATCCAATTGTCACCCAAATCATACAAATCAATGTGTACCTGATCTACCACAATCTGCACATGATAATAGTTCTTCTGGATATCCCGTCGACTTATTCTCGTACACGTCGCCCAGACAAAAATCACAGTAGTTGTTTGGAGATGTGCCACTCCCTGGCACTTTCTTGGGACGCCCAGGACCTCTCTGCTGTGGAGGTGAAGCAGGAACCTTTGGAGACTCTGGACGGACAGTGGGTGCTGGAGTGGATGGGTGAGATATCACTGGCTCCTCGTGGTGCATCGTCGCACCTGTCTCCTGCTCATGATTGTAATGTGTATAATGGTACTTTAGTCCTGGGCCATTCTTGTAGCGCCTCCCACAAACTAACAGAATATTACAAAATATCAAAAAGAACAACACAATGCTTTGTCTGTCAACACCACTTTGTCCTATCTTCCAAGGATCAAAGTCTGCTAGGTGACCTACGTAAAAAGAGATATAGTAAATTCTGCTTCCACTCAAAAGATAACTGAAATGACTGATTAATAACAAGGAAAAAAAATTACCAAGTAGTAATTTTGGGAAATAATATTTTTCAGGCAGAAATCTATAAAATAACCAAAATAATTAATAATAATAACTAGAGATATTTATTGAGGGAGCCAACACCATGAATAGTGGTTCAAGTATGCTATATTGTACTATACACTGTACACTACAATGAAATAAGCCTATACTGAAATCATGATATTAAAATACATCACAATAAAAATTACATAAAGGAAGTCCAAAGGTTACAAAAAAAAGATAAAATGGAATAAAATAAAGTAAAAACAATATTATACCTCTTAAAATACTTCATAATTACATTTCCATAATGCAGCTCTTAAAACTAACGTAAGAAATGTCCTTAATAATTGTCTAGTAGATAGTTCCAGTTGGTTAAAACATGAGTAATAACACAGTGTTGGCACCAATATATAACAATAATTTGACTTACTCTCGCATGCGTAAGGTTTTTTCCGCTCCTCAGGATCCATCCTAGCTAACTCTTCCTTGGTGATGTTTCGCACATGCAGAAGGCCAGGGATCGGGGGCATTGTCTTCTACAAGTAACAAAACGTGTGAGACACTAATATATCACTAATAATCTTAAGCTTTTTAAAATAAACAGTAGCCATATTAAAACATGACATTTTGGTGATGGCATGTCATCATAATGAATTGCAAATAATTATAAGTTTGGCAACATTATATGGAGACTGTTGAATGTTATATATGTTTTGTTTTCCATGCATCATTTTATTCTAAAATTAATGTAGTTTCACACTTTCACTTCTATATATAACATTACCAATCTTATAATAATTTGCATTTGATAATCGTGACATGTTGTTTGAGAAACATCATGTTTTAATAACTCTACCGTTCATGTTAAAATGATTAACAAAATCTTCCGTTATCGGAAATCTTAAGCTTGACATGACCAAAAATAGTATTACATGATTATCAACCCCACTGTACATGTAAATGCTTTGAACTGAAGGGTATCAGTAAGTGTGATCCACTTGAGAATACTTGTAGTTCAGTCCAAAAACAACTGTTATTGGTGACTGATGTTTTGACAACCTGAGCAAATGGCATCTAAGTGAAATGGTCCAGACTCCCTTTCAGTTTGGTGAAACATTTTAGTAACTAACAAAGTGTTCTTTTCAGACATTCCCAGACTTCCTCCCTGACTATCACAATAAAGCAAACAACAACACAGTCAGCTGGTTTTCATGCGGGTCTTCTATCCTGGTCGAATTGGAATTTGGACATGTTGGTTGCTGTGGAGGGAGGAAAACCAGAGAACCCAGAGAAAAACCCTCGGAGCAAGGCCAGAACCACAACAAACTCAACCCACATATGGCACCGGGCTGAAATTGAACCCGGGCCACATTGGTAGGAGGCGAGCGCCCTCACCACTGTACCATCCCTGTTCCCCAAGCATAAAAGAGATGGACTCCTATTGTATCTACATACAAGACAAATTACCCTATTGTATTAAACATGTTTCTCTTACATGATGGACTTGAGGCTCAGGAAATACACTAGCAGGTTGTTGAATCTTCTTGCGAGGTCGTCCTTTGCTAATAGGTTTCTTCTTACCAACATAGAAGTCTTCATCACCGGAGGATAAAGCACCAATGTCTTCCAGCACATCTTCGTCTCCATCACTATCTTCCAGTCTCATTATTTCATCTTCCTTTGTCACAGAAACATCTCTGGCAATCTCTGATTCAGATTGCTCTGGTGGAACTCCTTCAGACTCCATGGTATCCATGCTTTCACTGTTTTGTTCTATTTAAAAGGGATGATTTAGACAATCAATTGCGTTTTGTCAGAACTCGTCCCCCGTCCCTATGGAAATCAAAGGTTTTGGTTCATGGACCACTCGATCCAGAGACGAGTGCACTAACCATGAGGCCACCGTGCCTCCCAACATCCTAAAAGTGGGTATGAATAGTTTCTGGAGCCATAAATTACAACAAAGACAGTCTTATGAAGACATGATTGACATCACAGTTATATTCACAACTTAAGCAGCTGTGAAATTAAAGCCTGAAAAAAAAGTGTTATCAATGTAATAAGCCAATAAGATCAGTTCCATACCTCAAACCCTAACATAACCATACCACATATTTTAGTAACTACGGTGGCCAAATTGACAGAAATATCTAAAGAAACTACTGAGAAATCTTTTTAATCATGCCTTATGACAAAAGTGGTGGGAGTCATGTCATGTGTTGGATTTACGCATTCATGTCATGTGTTGCATTACGATGCTTTGCTTTGATGACCTATTCAAAGTGTGTGATTGCCTTTCAAAACCACTTTTAAATGGGGAAGCAAGCTTAACAAGAAATTCACACGTGCAAAAGAGTGAGATAAAAGTATTTGATTTCTCAGATGGATGAGGAACATAATGGTGATGATTCTGTATTTTTTTTTT